GGTGTTGCTGTTCTGCGTGGTGATGGCCTTCTCCAGCTCGTCCAGCTGGCCCGTCTTCTTCAGCTTCTTCACCAGGCTCTTCACCGCCTTCTCACACCACTTCTCCTCCTGGCCATTCTGCTCGCCCCCCCCGCTGCCGCCACCAGCTCCCCCGCCCAAGCCACCTGCCGACTTCTTCCACCCCAGAAGCCGCTTCACCGCAGGTGGGGTGAAAGGCAGGATGGAGGACATGTCCAGGAGTCAGGTGTGCACGCCCTCCTTCCCCGGGTATAGACAAGGCACTGGCACACTCAGAGGGGAGCCAGTCGGACTGGAGTGGACCCACTCCTCAATGTCCAGTCCAGCAAATTCTTGCCGTTTGCACAATAGTAACTATAGGAACAGAGGCAGGCCAGAAAAAGGATGGGAGGTGTCACTGGGGGTACCTGGGAAAGCAAGAAGGCTGACAGGAAAAGAAAAAAAAACTTTCAGAGATTACAACTTTGTTCCTGTCCTCCCCCGTAATCTCACAAAAGCCCTGCCCTTCCTTAAAGCCAACCCTTTAATGATAGCATTGTATTGTTACTTGAGTCTCAACAGGCCCAGCAGTTTATCAGAGAACAGAACAGAAAAAAATGCAGCCAGATCGCATCTGGAAACAAGAACTGGTCTGCAGATTAAACTGGTGAACATATTGCCTGTATTGTAAACTAAATTTCAAGAACTAGCATTAATTACCTCATGCCAGATCAGCAGAATCTCTCTATATTTCAAAAGCATGAACATTACGTGTAGACAGTGCTGGAAACTAGCGTTTCTTTGCACATAAAGAATTAACATTTGAATCAATAATCAAAACGAGGCTCATAACAAAGATGTACCTGAGAATCTACTACAATTACCTTAAAGGAATATTTAATGGTCATTCACATTATCGTAAGGAGTTACGGGAGTGACGGGGATTAGGTACAGGGACACTTTTACAGCAGATCTAGTATGTCGCGTTACGAGCAGCAGACCGTAAAGCCTCTCGTTGGCCTGACGCCGGGTTCTGAAGAGGCGACCTGAGCGAAGTCAAATGGCAAAGTCAGGCAGTGAGGCATGTTCAGGCAGTGATCAAAGAGGTTGCTGCTATTAAAAGTTAATCCAAACTGCCGCCAGACACAGACGGACCCACGGATGCTACCAGCACAGTCAAATGGTCAGAGGCTTCGCGTGTGCAGATCTTCAATAGCCGGCATTTCCATCAGCGTATTTTAAATCAATCGAAGTAGCAGCGCATCAACGAGCATTCGCTCAAAGCAGCCTGGCTGCTAAACCGTGTACATTACGGAAAATCCGATTTCCCATAACTTGAAAAATTGATTCAGGACTATCGTTGCGGGCGGCTCACGTTCGCAGCCGATTCTGAGCATCGTTCTTGCCACAGTATCGCAGAAGCGTTCAAAGTTTACAGCGAAATCATAAAATACGCCAAGGACTAGGGGCCGTCTGCAGGTAAATTGTCCGTCATTAACAAAAAATGAGAGGTTCGACAATGCATAGGACGCGTAGTGCTGAAAACAGAGACCCAACCGAGGGTCAGATGCAACTATCGGAGCTGACATCAGTTTAATGGCCACCCATTAAATTCGATCCGCAGTAAAGGTATTCGAGCAATACCCATGCAGTTTAAACGGACCTCTCATCAATTACCGAGGTAACCGGATCGGATGACTATCCAGCGAGTATCTCCTGATAACCTGCCCCCGCCTCCATCCATCCTGCCCTGATACCGAGCATACGCCTATAGGGAAACTTCAATTCATTTGCCAGTCATGTCAGTAAAACGTGAAACCGACTCAAAAAAATAGCAAAAGAGCGAGAGAAAAAAAAAAGGTTCAATCGCCAGTCCTTGAAGTAGATGAAGGGAACGGAAACGTGTGGACGGGGCTGCCGTCCTGACACACAAGCCTCTGTCCGTTTAGTCCAGATCAGCCAGATACTACGGATCCAGCCATTCTTACCCAAAGCAGGCCAACTCGATCCCAAAGAGCACCAAACACACACAAACACGGGCCATAAAGTCGCTAACAGAGGAACTGGAGGCGAGTGCAAAAAAAATTAAAAAAAATCAAAACACTCACCTCGCAAGGAAACGGCTCAGTTCGGGTCGTGATTCAGGTCTCTCAGATTAACACGAAACAAACCGGGGACATAAACACACTACCACCCACAAGGCAGCCTCCGGGAACTGGAGGGGGGCGCGACGCGTTTAACAGAGCCGGCCGCTAGTTAGGCCACTCCGCCAGCTGCCCCCCGTTTCGAGAAGCGCACGATAACTGAAAACCAGCGAATAGCGTACGGCTGGTCAGTTACCAGCGCTGAGGAGCGGCCGGCCAGTCCACTGTCCAGCTCTACAACATGTCTGAAAACCCGTCTCGTTTTTCACCACCCGGCAAATATTCGCTCCAAATACACGTTGTGTGAATAATATGGGTGCGTATCCTCAAGAAAAACTAAACCCCCCCCCCTTTCTCTTTTCAATAGTTTTTTTGTGGAAAAATACTTTCTTTCCCCAACCTCCCGATACACTCGAAAATATTCGTCCCCCTCATACAGCAGTAAACCTAACCTAGCTGCTAATGACGCGAACCTTTCCTGCGCTCGGTCCCGCCTTCCGCCTTGCTATTGGTTGAGCTGTACGGACTTTCTTGCCATGCATTGGCTTGACGCGTCGTCAATCATTTTGCTTTGCGCGCAGGCCGGACGTAGGTGGCGTCTATCGGCGCGGCTAATTGGCTGTTGTGTCACTGTGACTGGGAGGTACCAATGGTTGTGTCCGGTTTGCGGACGCCGCTGTCTGTCGGATGATGTCATATCGCTCCTGAGGGAGATGGGGGAGAAATACCGGCGTTCTCAAAACAATGTAATGGGATGAGAGTGTTCTTCCGCCACGTAGCAAAAGGAAATAGTGCTAAAATTCAGGCTTAAAGGTTTTTCAAAAAGAAAAGCTATAAAATAGTGGGATGAATATCAATATAATCCCCCTCACCTGTAAGATGACACTTCTCTGAGCAGTTTCAGGTGAAATTAAAATTATTTTAATTTATAATCCACTAGGTTTTGTATAGTAAATTGTGCATGTTCCGTTCTCCTTGACGATACAAAGGTAATTTCAGGCTTATTTACCTACCAGGCACAAACTTGAAAGTAATAAGTGTAACTCTTCAATGTATGTAACCTGCAAAACTCCAAAACCTGGAATGACATTTTGATAAAGTGTAAATGCTCATATGAAATAAACTATGAATCTAATCCCACAACTCCCAATTACCCTCAAATTGTTTGAAACAGTACATTTACATCTGATCAGTTTCAGTACATAAACATTGATACACAGATGTTGTGGACAACCGGACTGACAACAATCCAGGCCTGGAGGGGCCTCAGATCATTAGTGGCCATGAGTCACATGGCCCTCATATACAATGTGAGTTAAATACCAGAGACCTCTGCATCTATAGCAAGAGCTGACCATCAGGGCCCCTGGGCCTCCTGACATATACAGTGCAAATGAACCATCAGGGCCCTGGGCCCCTCAGCATAAACAGCACAAAGTAACCATCAGGGGCCTCCAGATACATGTGCAGTGCAAGTTGACCACCAGCAGGCCACCCAGCCCCTCGGCATATACAGTGAGTGTTGACCATGAGAAGATTGCAGGTTCAAATCCCCGACCAGCAAGACACCACTGAGGTACCCTGAGCAAGGTACCGCCCCCAAGCACTGCTCCCCGGGCGCTGAATTAGCTGCCCCCTGCTATGTCACGAAAGTCACATATGGGTTAAATGCAGAGGACACATTTTATTGTTGTGCACTGTGTGCTGTGGTGTGTCAACAATGACAAATAATCACAAATAAAACAAATAAATAAAAGAGCTGACCACCAGCAGGCCACCCAGCCCCTCGGCATATAAAGTGAGTGTTGACCATGAGGATACACTGCATCTATAGCAAGAGCTGACCACCAGCAGGCCACCCAGCCCCTCGGCATATACAGTGAGTGTTGACCATGAGGATACACTGCATCTATAGCAAGAGCTGACCACCAGGGCCCCTGGGCCTCCTGACATACTGTACAATGCAAATTAACCATCAGGGCCCTGGCATATAGAGTGCAAGCTGACTATCCCCCACCTCCAGGTGCCCCCCAGGACCATGACTAGGCAATGCATAACCAAACCCCCCCCTCCCCCCCCACCACCCCAAGTAATTTTTGGGCAACTGTTCATCATAATGGTAATTAAAAATATTACCCATGGAATGCAAGGTCAATCTAAATTGCTGGTGTTCCTGTTCCTGCTTTGTTGAAAAATGTTGCTTCTATACTATTTACATTTGTAACTGGACATTCATCAGAAGGTTAACATAGGTGTACCTACTGTATGCCTAGTCAATTCCTTGACAGCCATATGTTTGTAATATGCTACTTGCCTCACTTGTATGTTGCTTTGGACAAAAATGTCTAACAGGGCCGAAGTGGTATTTTTTAAGAGTTAAAAATAAAATTTGAAGCTAAATATTCACCTGAATAAAAAATAGAATTAGAATTTAGTGACCAGTGGTCATTGTTGACACACCACAGCAGACAGTGCACAACAACGAAATGTATCCTCTGCATTTAACCCATATGTGACATCGTGACATAGCAGGGGGCAGCTAATTCAGCGCCCGGGGAACAGTGCTTGGGGGCGGTACTTCGCCCAGGGTACTTCAGTGGTTCCTTGCTGGTCGGGGATTCGAGGCCAACTAACGTTTCACACAACTAATTACTTTAAAAAAAATAAACAGCTTATGAAGGGGATGATATCAATAATGTGATTGACAACACGCGGTCCCGGACGTCAATTTTTCAAATTCTGGCTTCGGCCCTGTCTGCTAAATAAAATAAATGTAAATACATATACATTTTTTGTTCCCATTCAGCTTAAAATTTACGGTAAGTATACTCATCTACTAAAATAACTTGTATACAGTAAGTTGACTAACACCGCGGACGGTAAGCGTCTCCCCTGTGCCTAACCTGCAGTTACCGGAGTGCAGATATGCTTTCGTTTCCAACCACACTCTCCGGAGCTTTGTGTAGACGGTTGTCAAGCGCGCTCTGAAAGCGCACGTTAAGTCACCAGAGAAAACAACCATCGATTCTTGCTCGTAAAGAAACGTCTGGCACGCGAGCAGAAGGGGTTCCCTTCTTAAATCATCTTCGTGGTGATTAAAGCAATACCATAAATTTATCAAGAATGCACTGGCTCTGAGCAGAAGCTTTATTACGCCACGACGCTTAATTTCACGTTATGGATTTATCCAGATGCGTCAAATGCAATATGAAATTCTCCTCTTTGCCTTTACTGGAAAAACACATCGAGAAGTTCTGCATTGGAGAAAGCACTAGGAAAGTCGATCAGACCGAAAACTCTGCAGACATGGTATAGTAAACCGCAATCCCTCAAAGTATTGAATATAAATATGCTATGTCAATTAAACATTACTTAGGACAAATTGGAATTATAGTGCATTATAATGAGTTATTTTTACAGATGGTTTTGATAATCTATGGAATGTAACGTTGGCAGATCAGAGCTATTTTAACAATTTCATCACTTTGTCTCAGCGAAGGCGATTATTTTTACTCGACTAGGCCTATATTAATTTGCAGTGAAAGAAATGTCACTACACGTGAAAAATTGTTAGTCTGTACAATTTGTTTTTAAAGCCCAATGTGAAATTTAAAAAGGAACGATGCATTTTAATTGGATTTCAGAATCCAAGTTTGGCTTACCTTGCAAAACAGCAGTTTTAAGTGTGTTTAACATATTTTACAAACACAAACACTTTACAGACACATTATTTCTTGTCATTTTATTAGCGCATTCAGATTGGAAAATAGATTTTATCTGTTAATTGCGTTAATTATAACAGTAAATCTAGAGACAATAAATACAAAAGAGAAATAAGAACAGGTCAAAGGGTGTGTTTCAAGGCTAATATATAGAAAAGCTGGAGTTGTAGAGCTGAGAATAAAAATCTTTTAGAGGGATCTGGTTTAGTTGATTGACATTCAGCATATGTAATTCTTGTGTCTTAGGAAAAGATGAATATTGGCTTGCATGAGGCATGTGTGTTATCTGAGACTGCCAGCAAGACAACTGGGCAAAAGTAGCCCAAGTTGGGAGACAGTTGAGCTGTGATGGGTTTTGTAGTGCTGTCTCAGGATAATAAGTAACTGTATCTGTCATAAAAACTAATGACATGATTATAAGTGGTCACCCCTCTGACAGTCCATCATCGCTACAAACACACTGAATATAGAACACTTTGTTTTGCTTACTATTTTTGTGGCTATTTATGTGAGTTGATCTGAGCATCCCTGCCTCCCAGCGGAATTCACACTCGCAACAGCAAGCTGCGTTTTCTCCAGGTGCAGAGACTGAGGGACTACAGGAGGAGGCGCCAGGAGAGGAAGGAGCAGCAGGAGCGAGAAAAGCTATTCGACCTTGGGGATCTTCAAGTAAAGCTCCAGGCCCAGGCCACGGACCTAGCTGATACCATGAAACCCAACAGTGAACCCACAGACACGGGCATGCTAGTGTGTGAATATTACATTGCATATTTTAACGGACTAGAATGATTAAATAAGTTAAGTTTAAGTAACATCAAGGGATCGTCAGGAAGGACTTCAATTTGCAGTCTTTGGGTCATAAGCCCGGTTCTTGTATTGCAGTGCAATTTTTAGAATAGTTTCATACCTCAGGAATGTCAAAAAAAATGTCTGTTGTATCGTGTTGTTCTCAGCAGCAGTGAGGTTTAAGGTGTCGGTTCTCCTCTATTTTGCGTTTTCTGTAGAGGGACTCCAGATCCAAAGCTCTGCAGACACGGGAGAGGGAAGCACGAGCGAGGGAACTTGCTGAGCTTCACGGGAAACGAGCAGTGGACTTGGAAAATGAGAACAGGCAGCTGGAAGCACGGAGAAGAGGTAAGCAAGAGAGAGCTTTGATAGATGACGGTCACATTCATAGGTGAAATCCAAGTTCTGCTCTTTCACAGATCACACTGCTTGTGTTTGGTTGCTGCTACAGACATTGACCTGAGGATGCAGGAGCTGGCAGCCCAGACCAGGAGCACATCTCACGTGGAGAGGATGCTGTCCGAACTGCAGGTACAGGAGCAGAGAAACACAATCCTACTAGAGGCACTCATGGAGCAGCTGCAGCAGGTCCAGATGGGATCAGTGTGAGTTGGGTCCGGAAACTGATTTGTACATTGTCTTGCGGTTAAATGAATCTTTCATAAGAATCTTTCGTCGTACTGATGGGCCCCGAGGGTGATTTCTGAGCCACTTCACACACAGGAGAGACAAACCACAGAGCAGACAGAGCGAGTCTCACCTCTTTTCCGCCAAGACAAAAGAGAAAGACTCAGTCCGCTTTCACAGCTACAAGGTTGCCCACGGTGATGGAACGCTGTCTTCGGAAATCAGGTGTGTCGGCCATTTCAAAGCACATTTCTTTTGTCCGGATGAGAAGTTCCACTTCCGGGAATTTATACTCACGTGTGCAGTTAAAGTGTTTTGTTTCTGCCTTTTTTGTAAACTTAGAGTACTAAATGTGACCTGTCTGAGATTCCTTCCCCCTTGCTTTGCAGTGCCCTGCAGCTGTCATACTTGCAGAGTGGGGGAAGTGACCATCTCATCTTAGTCCAGCTGCAGGATTTGCTAAAGGAGGCCTTGGAAGTGGAATGGCATCAGGAGATGCAGACTCACGCTCGCCCCTATTACATGGACAGAAGTAAACGTGAGTGACTCTCTAGGGGCCCCCTAATGTGGTCTATTCTCTGGACCCCAGATCATGTTTCTGGTTCAATATACAGGGGCGCGGCACACAGCCAAGCTTCAACTGAACAGAGACCTCATCGCCACGGAGCTGCAGAACCAACGCCTGGAGGAGGAGATCAAGAGATCTCAGCGGAAGAGGTGGAGGGATTCCAGGCTCATCAGTATGACCGGCTGCAATGAAACCTGCCTCTGGGTTCTGGCAACCTCATGTGGCCCATATAGTCCCCATGAAGTGATGCACATGACCTTGGATTGCACTGAAGGTGACCACTGTTGCATGGAAGGCAGCAGTGCTGCAGGTGATGTCACTGTTATCTGTCTCTTCCTGTTTCCTCTTCTACCAACTCAGGTCAGCCCACCGAGCAGAAGATGAAGGCAATGCAGACTGACATCGACTTGCTGAAGCAGGAGATTGAGATCAACCATATGAGGAGGAGAATGAGAGCATATGCGAGACCTCTGCACCATTCACCACTCCCCCCGCTGGTACAAATCCCTGGAAAGGGCCGAGATGCAGACTTGGCTGTTGGTTTATCATCATTATCATGGTCCTGGGAAAACATTTAAAATGAAAAAAAATTAAAATTAAAACTATTGCAAGCATATTGTTACTATGAGAGATGTCTAGTTAAACCATGAGTTTATTTTTTTCAGGATGATGTCAGATCAGGTTCTCCAGCCCTTGGGAGGAACTTTATGGACGTTTCCGACGGCTTGGAGTCTGTCCCATATGATCCAATGTAAGCTTACCAGCCACGCGTGGCTGCTGTTTTATTCATGAACAGCAGGGAGCATGATGATCAACAACAAAAGAGGAGTTCTGCTGGGGCACTTAGCTTGGATTACTCTAGAAAGGTCTCCGTGTTGAATCCCATACAGAGCAGGCTTCGTGGTGTTCTACGACTTCCTGCTGGGGCTCTGCCCCTCGTTCCGAGTGTGCCGCTTAGTAGCAAAGCTGAACGACAGAGATCAAGAGTTTGGCGCCTCCTCACCACTGCCCGTTGTCTACTGTGAGCCGGCCAGCCTATCTCCTCATGCCCCCCAACACAGCAGAGGAAACCTGGCCACCCTTGCTGCCAAGCAGGCCTTACCCAGGTGAGTAGGGGCTGAATCTGGGTTACTTTTAACTAAACTATAACCCTGTCTGTACTTCTTACCCACCGATCTTCTCCCCTCCGCATAGAGTCTTTCCATCCCTGGGGGTCTCTCTGATACTCGAGCTACAGGCCTCCGAAGGATGTGACCTGTATGGACAGCAGGTCACAGGGCTGCTTTCCAGGGGTTGGGTCAAGGTGGATGTGTTTGACGCTCAGAACCATTTGATTAGCGGGAAGTGGAAAGTGCCAGTCCGCGTCCTCCCTATTAGACCGTCTGTGACCACAGTGGAGTTGAATGCTGTCCCACAGGTAACTCCATGCCATTCTTAATTGCCCCTTTTAGAGTTTCACAATCTACAACCATTCACAGTCACAGATGATTTGACATGGATCTGACAGGCATCCGACGAAGTTGATTGGCCCATTTGACACCCTGGAAATGACAAAGGTTGCATCAGTGAATTTGGGCTTGGTACTGCTCAGAAATGAGTGTTTGAATTGTTGTGACTTGTCTTTCCTCGTAGCTGGACAATACTGAGCTCTACTTGAGGATAGTGAATAGCCGGGATACAGAGGTGCAGAATTCTGCCCCCATCAGCCACAGCAATTGGAGGCTATACAAATATCCTTTGCCGGTGGGTGGAGCCAACTGTTACCCTGACCTCACTGCATCGCCTTTCTGTTTCAGGACAGTTCTCAGGCTAAGCAAGTGAAAATAATGATAAACACCTAGCAGAATGAAATCAGCCCACACTGGATGGGCCTAAGATCCACTGCCAGTTACTGCCTGGTGATGTGGCTTCCGGGGAAACACCTCCTGTTGTCACAGTAACGGGTGGTATAGCACTTTGAAGGGATGTAAAAACAGCTTTGATGTTCTTAACCCTGATCACTGACTTGCATTTGGTGGTTTTTGTCCCAGCTGAGTTTCTAGTTAATTAGTTTGCTTCCGCTGGTGATTAAATGAATTGGCAATTAAATCTGAGGTGTAGTGGGGAGCTTTGTAGTGTGTTAAATCAGCTTTTAAATTTGGGGAGAAATACCTGCAAGCCAGTAGTGAAATAATATGGAAGCTATTTTGTCCTCGTAAAATCTGTTCCCTTTAATATTTTTTTTGAAATATAAAACTTAATTAGATTGATTTTTTATTCAAACAAATTAATCATTTGGTTGCATAGACCAGATTAATCAAATCAGCTGACTAAAACCAACTGATTGATTAACCCCCTCAACCCTGACCAGAATATGTACTTAGATGGATGGATGGTTGAGTAGCCTAGGCAGTCAATAATAAGAAACGAAGTGCATTCATTTTACAGGACAGAGAAACACATTTGCTTGCCATGATTTATTTATAGCTCTCAGAAATTCAGTTTTGCAGGACTGGAAAAAATAAAAATCCTGATAGTTTATTGTGGTTTTAGCAGAATTGGGTAATTCAGGTACAGAGAATAAAAGTCCAGACCAAGATTTTGTTTCAACCAACCAGTTGATCATAAAGAGTGACAGTCACAGAGTACTCAATTGGTTGGTTGAAACAAAATCCCGGTCTGGAATTTTACTCTCTGCACCCGAATTACCCAACTCTGGGTTTTAGTTATGAAATGAATGTAATGAAGACTGAGATTAATTAATTCAAACTATAATCTAGCATACACAGGTGGTATCCAGGACCAGGACTGATAACCACTGTTTTAATGCAAACATGGAGAACATTCTGAGCTCCTCTGGACACCACATTAGCATTCCAGATGTTGGTATTTCCTTTCCTCCTAATACAGGTGACTGGAGGAACTTGGCGTGCTGCTCGGGATTCGCTCCGCTCTTCCCAGTTCTCATGTGGCCAGCCCAGGTTCCCAGCATGCACCCAGACGCTAAACCCCCTTACTCCACCTGGGCCGGCTGAGGAGCTGGAGTGACCAGTGCTGGGCCAGCAGAAAAAACCTGCAGAGAAGATATAAGGTTTCCTGCTAAATCAGCCTCTGATCTTCTCGATGAAATCCCAATATGCAATTAACAAGCATGAAGGAGATGCTGTTATTATGACCCACTTACAGTGTCGATGAGCACAAGAACTGTACATTTTCATATATTCCCACTTGTTAATTAAATGCTGGAATTGAATTAATTAAAGTGCAAAATAGTTACATGATTAAATTCTAAATGCTTTCAGTTAAAAGGGGCTGCATCTGTTGCAACTATTAGTGCACCGGCAGCCTGTGTAAGCTGTTCTCTGTGTAAACTGAAACGTATGTATGTACACTTATTGTGAATGTGGCTATTTAAAATATTAAGTGATTGGTCACTCAGCAGCCTTATGAGGTTTTGTGATTGGACAAGCACAGAAATGACACAGACCAAGAGATGGCAACTGATGGCTGCCAACAGTGCATTTTCTATTATATCTTTCAACTTAAAAATATAAAAGGAGGCGTAGTCTGGTTTTGTTACTGACGTGATTTGGAACCTTCTAGAATGCATGTGATAATGAAATGAAAAGGTATTGTACCAGAGAAATAAAATTACTATATTACCCACAATGCTTTAGTAACTCTTAACACAGGTGACCAGCTTACAAGAGAAAAGGCACTGCTTTACTACACATTCCAAACAAACAGGAAGGTTTTATAATTCACCAGCTGGACATCTGAAAACACCTCAACTCTGTGACTAAAAGTCTGAATCCAACCCCAGTTCTATGTGTGTGATGCCTGGATGCTCTCTGTATCTTCTTGAGTTTTTGATCCAGGTATTCTGGTCTCTCCCAGTCCAACAACTTATCGGGATGTATGGGTGATGCTGAATTGCTCCTGATGTGTGATACCTAAGTCTCTAACCAAGGACGAATATCCTATCTAGATTGTAATCTGCTAGGCCTATATTGTCACGTCCGGGAAGAACAGAGCAGGCTGAACCCAGATGCAGGAGACCCAGAGGTTTATTGGGACACCAAACAATAGACAAGTCCAAAGGGGCATGAAACGAGCGATGGTAGAGAAGGCAGGCAGAGGGTCGTGAGCCGGGGAGATCAATCCTACGGGGAGGCACAGGACGGGAAGACGGGCACACCAGGGAACACAGATGAAGCAGGGCAGGGATCAGGAAGACGAGGTGGGCAGGCAGGACGGGCAGGGCAGATGACGTGGCACAGAAGACAAGAGAGGTAGAATGCTTAGTAGGGCGCATGAGGGCAACAATACTTCGCAACAGTGGTTAGTCAGAGTGCTGTTAAATAGACGCTCGTAACGAGGCTTAGTCACGTGGCCCCGCCCACCGAGGCGTGACATATATATCGTGTCCTAAGGTCATGGAAAAGCCAGTAGGATTTGTAGGATATACAAACAGATATTTGGATTGAGGAATCAATGAACAGTATATTTTGTTTAGAAACACTTTTAGGTTTTTTAATTATTATTTATTTATGTATTTGTGATTTGTTGTGTTAAGTGGGTGGGTGTTTTGAAAGGCGCTGAAAATAAAATGTATTATTTTTATTATTTATTAATCATAAGATGCAATGATGGACAACAATATCTTAAAAATAGTATATTGTCTAAAGTCCAAGTTTTCACGATTTTAATAAACCTGTTTATTAGGTACGTACATCGGCCTATTTAACGACATACACGAATCAGAAATGAATTGAATGCAGTGCTTCCTTTTAATGACGCAGTGCGACACGAGCTCCATATACAGCACTTACAATGAATTTAACTTAATTGTGTCACCCTTCTAGGCTGTATTTGTACCAAAACATGGAGGAATGGTTAACGAGCGTTAGAAAACGCAGATCATTTCCATCGTTCTGCAAGTTCCTCTGAATACGATTTAGTATTTAACCTGAATTATCAGAAAAAATAAATAACACGTAGCCTACATGAATTCAGCAGGAATAACATTATACTGAGATCTTTCGAAGATCTGGATATACTGAAGATCTTTCAAAGTCTACAGACAACTGGAACGAAGCTGCGTATAAATAATCTCCGACTGATTTAAACAAAATTGATTTTCACTAGGTTTTGTGCTGTGAAGAAAACTCCACTCTAAAAGACTGGAATAATGGCAAATAGAAATGGATACTATGAAGCTGGTGATGTTTATTTTAGTTTGAAGCAAGTGAGATAATCATCGTTATCATCCTGGTTTCTATGTGGGTAGCATCGTTGCCTGCCTGGGCGTTCAAATCAAATGCGGAGGTCGTCCCCTATAAAATCTTATCGATATAAAACGTTAGGCGAACGGGCTTCTATGAATTTCCTATGATGCCCCTCTGTGACAGCACGTTGCAGAAACGGAGCTGACAGGTGGCTCACAAAATTCATAAATGCAATCAACATAAGGAAAACATTAAACGTTATATGTTAAAAAGAAATGCCAAAAGTTAAATATGAAAAGAACAATATACAGCCATATAAAATAGATTAGATATTCGTGAATGAGTCCAGGATGGTGGGCTTATGGGGATTTGATCTACTTGGACCCAGGGGCGTTGCTAGAGATTTTGGGCCCCATGAAAGCATATCATATTAGGCCCCCCAGTCCAAACCAATCTAGTTATTTTCCTAATTTTTTAGGGCCCCTGTCACTCAGGGGCCCTTGGAATCGTCCTAGCTTTCCTCCCCCTTACGGCGCCCCTGCTTGGACCCCACAAGGACGTGGAGGCTCTGGGAACGTGGCCAAATGCCCATGCTTAACCCGTCCAGTTGCAGAGGGTTGTGTGTTTCATTCCCCAGGCTACAGAATCCGGATGAAGGGTTTTGCTGCCACGCATACGGGCATTCCCGGTCACGCCTTTTAAATTGAATTATCACATGGTACAATTATTTGCCCTGCCATTAGGAGGCTTGTCCTAATTGATTTATTTGTTTATAAAATAGATTTTCAGACAGCCGTAAAGCTATTTGACTCAGACTAAGTAGATGGGCGATCATGGATTTATTACGGTTGCTGTGTATGATTGCATTATGGACTTCGAGAGATTTATTAGGTATTTTGAAGAAGATATTAAGACGTTAACAAACACGTTTCATTTAAACCACCGGGCAAACACTAGTGAAAAGTAATTTTCAGCAGAATTTTGTGGCGAACACCAACGAACCGTATTCTAGGCGTTTTTCTTGCCGTACTTACAGTGTTTTTCTCCAACGGGACAGGTTTGAGTCAGAATTGTCGAAGAGATCAGTGGCAGTGTGATGATGGAACATGCATACCAGCATCCTGGCGCTGCGACGGCATAGGAGACTGTCTAGACGGCTCTGACCAGATAGACTGCGGTATGTTCGATAACATATTACGCGGATATCAGATTGCTTACAGAATTTTTGCTGTATTAAGTATGGTCAAGGAATATAGTGTTTATTTCCTGCTAAAAAAAAAAACCGCTCGATTCCCATGCTGGTTAGTGCTGGTTTGGTGCTGGAGGACCAGCATAGCTACATTATGCTAGCCATGTTGGTAACAGCTATGCAGGTCTGTGCTATTTTTTTTTCCAACACGGTTTATTTAGATGAAGGCTTTTCAAAATCTGAACCTCGATTCCAAATCCAGGCCTTGTTTTCAGTTCTCCCAGGTAGTTAGTTTAATAATTATTGATTCTGATTGGTCAGAGGCTTCACACCTGGCTCACAGGTAAAGAAACGCTGGAAAATCAGCAGTGCTCGGACCTCAAGGACCGTGATTTAAATAGCTGTGGTTTAGATCAAACTGTCCATGTTAAAATAATGCGCTCAAACCAAGTAACATGTCATGTTATATACTTTTGGACAATGCTTTGTTTTTTTGTAGCTGTAACATTCTGTATGTTTTCTAAAGGTGTGCATAAATAACGATGCACCTAAAATAATACTTAGTCTATCCTAAGTAAGGCTACTGTATGGCTGCAAAAACCTGTTCTCATTCCTTCCCAGCATGCCCGGCGTTTCTGTGTTGGGATGGCTCCAAGTGTGTTAACCATTCCCTAGTCTGTGATGGCCAGCCAGATTGTGATGACCGCTCGGATGAGGGGGAGTGTCTCACAGGCCCAGGGTGTCTCTCCAGTGAATGGCGGTGTAGGAATAAAGCGTGTATCTCCCAAGCCTCTATGTGTGATGGGAAAAATGACTGCATGGATAGCTCTGATGAAGAAAACTGTGGTAAGTGTTCGAAACTGGGAGATTTGTTAAACCTGTGTTCGTGTTCCACTTAGCTATTGCCTGCTTGATGCAAGATCATGCAACACTTGCGCAGATTTTAAAATGGCTTATGCCACACCTACAAGTGTATATATGCTGGAGTTGAAGGAGGGCAACCTTGTGAAGACGTTGGTCTTGACTTCGAATGAGGGCATCCAGTCGTTTGACATCGACTGGAAGTGGAACTGGATCTTCTGGGCCAATGGTACGGGATATTTGAAGGCAAAGAGTCTCCTCCAGGAAGGGTTGATACACATCCCTGTCCTGAGCCCTGGTGAGTTATGTGATCAGTGTGTTTATTGCAAAAATACTTTCCCAGAATACTCAGCGAAGGTTCAGGTAAAGGGTCTAAATGGGTTTCGGGTTGCCTCTTGTCTTGTTTACCAAGATTGTTTTCAAAAATTGTGTTATGTTGGGTAAACCCTTAACATTTGTCTAGTGCAGTCTTTGTGCACCTTGCTTTGTTCAAATATTTTCACCTGTGCTCACCTCTTCCCTTTTTCAGCCTGTTTGGTAAAAGTTGACTCAAGATCTGGGAGCATATACTGGCTGTCCTGTAGTAGGTTGGACCTGGTTATGACTACAGTCAGCCAAACTGTCAGTGGCTGGGTCTCTAAGCAGTTATATAAGGCTGGGAGTGAGGTCCTTGACGTGTGCATTGACTGGCAAAGGGGGAAGCTGTACTGGTTGGAGGATGGAAAAGTCTTCGGTGTGGGCATGTCTGGTGGGAATGCCAAGGCTGTAATGAACGTTCAAGGAGATGTCACCAGCATGGTACTGGATAGGAAATCCAGTAGCTTCTTCTGGAATTCGAATGGTTAGTTCCACATACAGCAAATAGTAGAGAATCTGCTTTGCCAGATGCTGAGCTTGAGCAGCTGTCTGTTTGACAACCGAATTGTGTTCTGTTCAGGCTTGAAGGTGGTGAGCCTCTTAAAGAAGAGACAGTACACTGCTGCTGGGGGGTGGAATTTAACTGGCACAGTCATGGCTGCCCAGGAGCCTTTTTTGGTTTCATTGCTTGATAATGTCATGGTTCTATGGGATCGCAGAACTGGCAGACGTGTGAGAACGGTCTCAGTGGGGAAGGTCCTTGGAGTTGCTGTGTTTGGTCCTGTGGCTCAAGGTAAATATGGTGCCGTTATCTGGTGTCAACATAGCTGTTAATGTGGTGGCAAATAACTTCATGAACTTCATAAATGTCTTTGCAGATAAAAACACCCCTCCTGCGTATGCCTTGGTCTCGAGCCAGACCCCCTTCATATCCTCCGTACATCAAAATGAAAGTGTCACCTATAGAGATGTTTCTCCCACCCAGACACTGAGCTGCAAAAGTCAGTCAGTTTTGTGTCAAGGGACACGTTTGTGCCTAAACTCAAATCAGCTCTGTGATGGGCAGTTGGACTGTCCAGATGGGTCAGATGAGGAATTCTGCCTCAAGGCTTGTAAAGACCAAGGTAATACATTTCTGCATAAGCACAATAGATTGGTTTGAGCAAGAGTTTCAGGACTCTGTCTCCATCAGCAGACTTCTTGTGCAAGGACAGGCGGAAGTGTGTGTCCATGGCGCTGGTGTGCGATGGCCATGTTCACTGTTATGATGGCTCTGATGAGGTGGGCTGTCCCACGGCAGAGGTGGGTGTCCCACGAGTGACCCCGCTGAAGTGCCGGTTCGGCTCC